GCACAAGAGCAGACCTCAGGACCAATGGAATAGAATTGAAATCCCAGAAATGAACCCACAGACCTATAGCTCCCTTTGATAAGGGAGCTAAAAAAATAGAATGGAAGAAAGACAACCTCTTCAGTAAATGGTGCTGGCAAAATTGGTTAATCACTTGTAGGAAATTAAAGCTAGATCCTTATATATCACCCTGCACCAGAATCAACTCCAAATGGATCAAACACCTCGGAGTCAAAGCAGACACTCTGAAAACATTACAAGATGGAATAGGAGAAACCCTAAGTCTCCTTGGCACAGGCCAAAATTTTCTTAATAGAGACCTAAAAACATAACAAATCAAAGAAAGGTTGGACAAATGGGATTGTATGAAACTGTAGAGCTTCTGCATGAAAAAGGACATAGCTAGTAAGATCAATAGAAAGCCCACGGATTGGAAGCAGATCTTCACTAGCCATACAACAGACAAGGGTCTCATATCTAAAATATACTTGCAACTCAAAAAATTAAATCCCCCAACAACAAATCCTCAAAGAAACAACCACCCGATAAATAAGTGGGCTAAAGACTTAGCAGAGAAACTTCTCTGAAGAGGAAAGGATAGACACCTGAAGAAATGCTCAACCTCCTTAGCCATAAAAGAAATGCAAATCAAAACAACATTGAGATACCACCTCACCCCAGTTAGAATGGCTATAATCAAGAACTCTAATAACAACAGATGCTGGAGGGGATGTGGCCAAAAGGGCCCCTACTGCTTTGTTGAGGGAGTTTAAACTTATTCAACCACTTTGGAAAGCAGTATGGAGGTTCCTCAAAAACCTACACATAGACCAGCAATCCCAATTTTGAGCATTTACCCAAATGAAAACAAACAAGGCCATACTAAAGCTACCAGTACAACTATGTTTATTACAGCATTATTTATCATAGCTAAGATATGGAACCAGATGCCCTTCGGTAGATGAATGGATTGAGAAAATGTGGTATGCATGTACACACACACACACACACACACACACACACACACAATGGAATTCTATGCCTCCATCAGAAAGAATGACATTGCCCCATTTGTTAGGAATGGAAAGGCTTGGAAAAAAATTATATTAAGTGAAGTAAGCCAGGCCCAAAGAAACATAGGTCCCATGGTTTGTTTCCCTTATTTGCAATATCTAGTATATGTCTGAGACAAGCAGAAAAGGTCAGGTAAGTTGATGTTAGGAGAAATGAACCCCAACATAAGGCCTCAGATGTTTTTTTTTTCTTGTTATTGTTTCTAACATATTTATAAGATATTTCTTTGTTGCTTTGTATGTCCCTCCCCCACGGAATTTAATGTTGGTATAATTTGTGGAGGGGAAGGGAAAAAACAAATTGTTTAAATAGGGATACAGGTGGACTCATTGCAACAATGAGATGTACAAGACGTTATGTCGAAAAACGAACTATACAACTTTGGCAGGGTGGCATGGGGGGGTGGTGGGATGGGGCGATGGGGTGATGGGGCATGGGGAGATGGGAAGGGATGGGAAGGGGAAACAAAGGAGGAGGCAACAATGCTTGATAAGAAATGTACCCATTACCTTGCTCATGTAATTGTGACCCCTTTGTAAGGTATTTTTACATGAAACAAAAAAAGAAAAGCAAATTTTAAAAAGGAGAAAAAGAAAAGAAACCCAAAGATTACTACCAAATAATATGGAGTGAGGAAAATGTTAAAGATATTCAAGTGGAGGAAACCACTATACTGTCTTAGATATTTTACCTTCCTCTACAGTTAGGTATGATTAGAGTCAGATATGTCAATAATTTTATTTAGAAAAATGTGGCATAACTTCTTTTGTGTCTGGTTAGAAGAATTTATTTAGTACAGATTGACCCATTGCAACAATGAGGACAATGAGATATACAAGACACTATGTTGAAAAATGAGGGGGTATAGTTGAGGAGGTGGGAGGGAAAGGATACTAGGGGAAAAACAAAGGAGGAGGCAACAATGCTTGATAAGAAATGTAATCATTACCTTGCTCATCTAACTGTAACTCCTCTGTACAGTATTTTCACAATAAAATCATTTAATAAAAGAATTTATTTAGAATTTGGAATTGAGTTTACAAGGCACAAGTTTTTTTTTTTTTAAAGAATACTTTATAGAGCTATTAAATAGTTTCTGTAGTGTCTGCACAGCTCACAACTCCCACTTCACTACCAAATCTTGCTACACAGCGGAAGACTCATTAATTTTATTCTTTAGTATGATACTTATTCTTCCATATGATGGTCCTTAAACTTAGGTACTTGTTAGAATTACTTGAATAATTTAAACATCTTTATGCTCTGGCCTCAACTAGAGATGAACATTTCTCTGATATTTTCAAAATTTAACAGAAAAAGTGGGGGTCTATAGTTTATGCCTGTAATCCTAGCTACTCATGATGAGATAAGAAGATTATGATTCAAAAACAAGCCTGGCAGGAATGCCCATGAAACTCTTATCTCCAATTAACCACCTCAAATCGGGGACTTAAATTGTGGCTCAAGTGATAGAGTGGCAGGACCTGAGTTTAAGCCCCAGTACTGACATGTATACACACACACACACACACACACACACACACACACTCACACACACACACACATACACACACACACACACACATACACACAAACACACGGAATACTAAAAGTGTGATGTATTGACAAAATGCCTTACTGACTTGTACTCTACCATGACATGATTAGATTGCTCAGGAAATTTGACTTAGGATATGACTGAGAAAATGACTGGTTCTCACTTCTATGGACTGGGTTATGCTTCTGAAAAGATGAACAACAGAAGCATATACATAATGAGTAGAGACTCATTTAGCAAAACAGAAAGATAAAAAGGTACAACACGGTACCTGAACTCTGGACGCATGACTGGCTGACTTCTTACCTTGGTATCACATATATATCCCTTATCTATATCACCAGTTCCCTTTGCAAGATTTTGTTTTTCTTACAAGAACCAAAGAAGTCCTAATGGATCCAGCTCTTCAATTCAATATCTACAGCTTCTTGCCACTAGTCAAGATGTCACGCACTCCCTTTATATCTGGTATTTAATTCTCTCTGTTTGAATTACTTTAGGTCATTATTATGCTATGATAACTAAATAAATATTAAATATTGCATAGTCTATTTTCCAAATATATCCCACATCTCAACCTACAGCTTATTTGTTTGTGATTAAGCAAGCTATTACCTTTTGCTGGTTCATGATCATTCCTTAAGAATGCTGTGGCTGAAATTAATGAAGAAATAACATGAAAATAATGACTGATAGGGATTTAAAACAGAGAGTAAAATATTTCCTCTGTATTAATTCCTACCCAACTTTTCTCTGGAAGGTCAAGGTAGAAAATGGGTCACTGTAGAGTTATTACCTAGTGGAAGTGGACCTAAGCTAAGACTCTCTTAATAGTAGTTTGACTACTGTAGAGAAGATGTCCAGTGAATCTTCTTCTGGAAATTAAGATTTCAAATCCTAAGTCAGGCACCAGTGGCTCATGCCTGTGTCCTAGCTACTTAGGAGGCTGAGATCTGAGGATCTTGGTTCAAAGCCAGCCCAGGCAGGAAAGGCCGTGAGACGCTTATCTCCAATAAACCATTCAGAAAACCAAAAGTGGAGCTGTGGCTCAAGTGGTAGAGCACTAGTCTTGAGCTGAAGAGCTGAGGGACAGCGCCCAGGCCCAGAGCCCAGGCCCAGAGTTCAAGCCCCATGACTGACAAATAAAAATTTTAAAATTCTGATCAAATTATAAAGTCAATTGGGATTTAAAAACCAAACAAACATGTTTTCAACTTCAGTCATTACAGCATCCTGCACAGTGCTATGTGCAGTAGAAAAACTTTATTAATAAAAATGCTTGATCTATGGGGACCTATTCTACTATTATATCCTACTCAAGCATATTGAAGAGAAAAACAAAACCTGCATGAGGAAATTTAACATTTTTTTAACATTTCCACTTACAATAATGTTTTAATTCTATTAACATGTCCACTCTCTGTATTTTAGCATTGCAATCTCTAGAATTTGTATTTGTTCAATACTTTGTTCCAGTTATAAAAGACTTTGCAGACCACAAATTTTAACGAAAGCACATGGGAAAGGCTACATTATCCCTGAATTCCACTGAGATTTCATAATGTTCTAACACAAGCCTTACTGATATAAACACATAATGACAGAAGACAAAAATTGTGTTTGTAATGGTCACATAAACATTTTAGGCTTTTATTAAACAAGTATCATAATTAGTTTATATGCTGTTTGAAGAATTCATTGAAATAACTCATTTAAACAGAAAAGAAATGCATATTCCATTCTCCTGAGAATATTTAGAATATTCACAGAGATAGCAACCTACTATTTCTGCAAATGTTGCACTTTAGTTTGATTAAAATGTTTATATAATATTAAAGGATATTTTACTGAAGGCATTTTCCCCAATAATAGAATCAAAAGCAAAAGCAAAACACTGAGTTAGAGTTACAAATCTACACTCCTATAGATATGGGAATAATATATTTTGTTCCATCAACATGTCTACTTTACATTATTCAGCACAAAGCTTTGTGAAATAAGAATCATGGGAATATAAGAATATAAAGGAAAAAGGTACAAATAACAGCTTCATAAACTGTGAAATGTACATAAATAAATCATGTATATGGGGGCAGTTTGCTTAGCTGGCAAGAAACAAAATATGGAAAATCTGCTTGTTAAACAATAACTACAGAGTATGCTTTTATGATGTTTTTCACCAGAGTAATTCATATTAGAGATAGAAGCAGTTGCATGTTAAATAAAATCATTGAGCATTGTTTCTTTCCCATTGCAAATAGCTGACTTATGTTGTTTTTAGATGCCTCCCATTAGAAAGTAAATATTCCTTCAATGCTCTGCATTTCACGAAAATTTAATAAAGACGAACTGTAAATAAAGTCACAGGGAGATTTCAGACATTTTTATTAGGAGATTGTTGAAAAGAAAAAGAAAATTAAATACAATAACAGTAAACGTGGTTCTCACATTGAAACCAGGCTCAAATAACTAGGCTACCATAGAAAAATTTTCCAATTCTTGCATTATGATGTAAAAACAGATTTTGTACAGATTTTGTACAACAAAATTCGTAATAACCTTTTATCATTTTTAGAAAACTTTAAATATATAGATAAAAATAGACAATTTTCATAGGTCCTACATGAAGATGAGTATGTTCTATTCCAAGGGCTTGCATAGAGCGCAAATGTGGTTATAATATAGAACAACTAGACATTAATATTTGTAGGATTACAAAAGCATGGAAACCATAAAATGGGCACAATTTTACTTATTTATGCCAAAAAACATAAATTTCTAAACCAACTAGTTTAACTAAAAGAAAAAAGGGAGGGGGGATTAAGTTACAGACTTACAATTACATTTTGTGAATTGTAATATTTACAACAGGTTAGTAAAGAGTCTTTCTTAACATACAGATGACAGCATTTTTTTCTTTAATCTTTGCTGAAATATCCTTTTATGTTGAACCAGACACTAAAGCATTCTCAAAGGTCTTGAAAATATGAATTTCAAAATTATTTAACCCCACATAACAGGTGACTGTATGCCAGGAGGAGAACAAAGGCTGATTCTATGACAATATGTAAGTTGTAGGCTTCTTTAAAAAAAGTTTCAAAAAGTGTACGATTCCAAAGCTTGCCACAAGTTCATTCAACCTTAAGTGTTCTTACAATCCTTTAAAGACTGCATATGGGAAACCAAACAAACCAAAATGCACAGAACTAGGAATAGAATCTCTTGTGCTCAGTAATGAAAGATGATTATGGAACAAACTTTACTTAGAAAACCAAGGTTCTACAAAGTATTTACGAACATTATTTAAAGGAAAATATTTCTCCCTTTTAAGCAAGCTAAAATAGGAATTGTTCATAATATCTCAAATAATGGACTAAATTGTTTAATAGTTTGTTACATCAAAGATGAAGGTTCTGGCATGTCAAGGAAGACCTAAAATGTGTAAAAACCTTAGTGCCAGAATATCTATAATGTTACATTTTTCTTAACCAAGTAATTATTACCCAATTAATACAATCTTTAAACATTTCCATCTAGTTTGCTTAGACACTTAAGATTTTGTTGTTTTATGGTAATAAATAATGTTAGAATCATAAAAGTTTACCATGACAGGATATCATATGAGGGACAGTAACAGTACTGATTTATATCAGTCCTTAAAGGTGGAACTCTAGTTGTATTTAAAAAAGAGAGCGAGAGAGAAAGAACTTAACTAGCGTATAATAAGCATCATTTGCAGCTTTACTTCCAGTTATCTGCACAAAAGTGAAAACACATACTTGTAACTTTCAAAAAGACAGTGAAAATAACACATAACCCACCCATCCCTCTGCGGTGATGGGAGGCAAAACACAGTTCAACTTTATCACTCAAGGTTACATTGGTATTCGACTGATACAACACAGGTTCGTTAAGTTTTGTTTCTTCTTTTTTTGTAGCAACATTAACATAATATGACATTAACATATAAAAATATTTCTGGTGTTGGGATTGACAGGTCAGCCACAATCCATTCTCAACAGTGCAGTTCGCAGCACTGACTAGGGATTGATATCAAAGAGAAATGGCTGACTGAGAGTTCTCAGGTCACCAGAAGCTTAAGATCTCATTCGTTAATACTGTGACTCCAGACAAATATTTACATGCCTGCATGCGTTAAAACCAGAAAGACTTCTTTCTGACCAACAGGGTGACAAAAAACATATTTTCTAAAATTGTCATTTTCCTAAACTCTAGTATCCTACTGCATACATAATACCTTCCTTGTGTGTTTTATGTTTATATACTGTACATGTGACCAACAGTTTGAGTAGGAAGCAACATTATTATTTTTAATCCTATATACCACTACCAGTTTGGAATGAAAACATGTTACAATTAGATATATATGTATATTTATTTTTTTAAATTTTTAAGTAAAAGAGACTATCGGTGAAACCTTTTGGCTTATAGTCAATGCTTCTTTTCAGATAAGCAAAATGTATAATTCATTGAGTTGTTACCATCCATTTGTTGGTCTTTTTGAAAGTATCTGAAAAAAAATTCGGAAGAAAACCCACAATTCGGAGTTTAAAACTGAATGTAACAGAATATTACTCTTTTTTTGTTGTTTGTTTCATAATCCTCTATGTCCCTTACAACTTCATTTCCACATTTTCTTGATGGTGTGGTGGGACATAATTCTGTAAGTCTAGTGACCACTGCTGTAAGAGTCTGTCAATGTGCTCAAATACAGAATTTTCAGAAGAGAGAAATGATTCATTCCATTAAAAAAAAAGGCTAGGTCTTAGTCACACCTGCCTTGAACTCTGTATACAAGTGTCCAGCAGCAAAGTTGCAGATATTAACTAAGAAGTTTGATACTTGTACATTTACAAACATTCGCAGGTCTCTGGTATGAATCACAGACGAAATCAGTGGAGGAAACTGTTTGGTTTTTGTAGAGTACTTAAATGTTAAAGAACATTACTACACAAAATGGAAGAAGTTTCCTTAAAAGGACCTTAGTTTTTCCAAACTTGCCAATGACAAATGTCTGACAGCAAAGTTCTTTATATGAACTTGACTTCTTCAACCAGATAGATTCAGTACATGACAGTAGTCTTCAAATACAGTCTCCCATCTAAAAATAAATAATAAAGATAATTAATATCACAGCCTTTGGGGCACATAGGTAGCAACAAAGTACATAGTTTGATATAAAACTTCTGGTCTTCATTTTAGTTTCAGTAACTTAGGAAGGAACAGTGTCACATATCCTGAACATTAATTTCATAATTACCTTGAGTTTATATGATCAGGAAGAACACAGCACTTTTAGTTCTCATAAATATATATTTGCTATTTTGATATCAGTTCCAGAGCACTCAGAAAGTAGATAAGAGTATGTGTGTGTGTGCTACTGATATGCAAAACTTGTTCATTTGTGTGGAATGACAATTACTTCCTGCAAGCTTGCAGAACCAAATTTTCTGTGAAGGCACTCAGGTGTGTCTGCATCAGGAAAGACTGAGCCCTCACCTTACTCCTCGGTGGTGTAAGTATGCCATGGAATGTAACTATGTGCACATTTGTTACTACTTAAGATGGTGGCTTCTGCCACCAAGGTTATTTCATCACTGTCAGTGGACTGTACTTTTTCCTTCTAGAAATGAGACTAATTCAACAAATACATGTCAAGTTGTTAATAGATTACTCCCCTTTACCAATGGAAAAATAAGACCCATAATAATCTGGAAAAATAGAAAAACACCAAATTTTGAACACAATGAATGAAGCAGAAATAAGAAAAGGGGAATTTTAAATCCAATGTAAAACCTTATACACAACATAAGCATATTCCCATATAGTATGTGGTAACATGCCTCCTCCAAAGTATGGCCTGAAGTTTGTAAATCTTTGGGTAAATTATATATACACTTCAATTTATCTACAATAGAAGGAAGAGTGATCAGAAAACAAGTTTTCTAAATTATTTTAAATTATATTAAAGTCCTGAACTCTAAATGTGCACTATTGCTTCAAGAGGCATATGGAGTGTGATTAACTATCTAAGCTAGATAGAAGATCTAAAAATACCTTACCCGCTTTGGGCCCCTAACTGTGATCTGTCATTAATACTGAATGTTGCTAGTAGTTTTACTAGTACTTATTGCCATATTAAATAAGTTTTCTAAATCAAACATTAAAAATAAAGAAATTTAACTTAGGCAAGCAAAAAAGGTAAGGGGCACCATCTACATCCTAATTTCAGGGGTGTGAGCAAATGAGTGCATGTGTGTACACACACACACACACACACACACACACACACACACAGCATGGCAGAGCATGAATACACCTTGCCTCTCTTTATGATCAAGGAAACTGGCCATAAGGAAAATAATTATCATTATAACTATAGCTAATGTTTGTGAAGCACCTATTGTGTTCAAGGTACTGTAGATTTTTAACTCTAAATGTACCAACAACTAGCAGAAGAAAACATGCTTTCAGTGTCTTTCCCAAATAAAATTACCCAGGCTGAACATGATTAATTACCTTTTGTATTTTCACAGAACTACCAAATAGAGGTGCAGAAATATGATACCTGTGTGAATCCAAATGTGTCTATTTCATTATACCACTTTCCCTGTAACTGTGCAACTGGAGAAAAAAAAGTCAGTGTTTCTGACTTCAACTCACTGTTTCAGGGACCAGAACCTTGATGGGTTCCCAGGGGTAACTTTGGTTTTGGTCTCTCCAGACTCAATGGAAATAGAGATAGAATTCTTATGTTCTGTTTTTAAAAAAAAAGCCTTCCTTTGACACTGTGATTATTTGCTTTTGTAAGGGGGGATGATATGACAGGAAAGTCATCAACCTCAACTTTGTTTGTGGGAGTACTTAATTAAAAAGTCGGTTCTAATTAAAAGCAGTTGGGAGTAGGGGTTGAGTGAAACTATTTAAATTACAAATTCCTGATAGTTTCAAGTTCATTGTGATTTGATTTGTTCAGCCATAATTTGGTGTAAAGAAAGAATCTAAATTACTGAATAGTTTGTCACAGGTGTGAAATTTTGTATGCCATGTGAGATTATTATGTAGATTTGCAACCACAGATTCTATAATGAAGAAACACTTTAAAATTCTTTGTAAAACATTATCTCAGCATAACGTTTTGCTTTGTTTTCTCTTGCTTTCTCCTCTGCTAATATTTCTATTTCCATGATGGGTATTAGTCTCAAGACCTTATATATGCTAGGGAAGTGATCCTCCATTGATGATCCACCATTCGTCCAGTCTCGGGCCTTAATATAATACCTGAAACTGTTCAATGGGAACCAGTAAACATACAGAATCTACACGTTTGTTTGTTGTGACTGAGAAGAAAAATAAAAGAAGAGTCTATAACAAAATCTCTATTTTTGTATTCACATCAATCTAAGTTTAGGGCCGATTTTAAGGTTGTTATTTCCTGCAGTCATTGATAATATTTAAAGCTTGCAGACAAAATCAGTGTATCCTTTATTTCACCTATAAAAACCAGTGTATTAAATAGCCTAATCACCAGTTTAGAAACTATGAGTTGGATTAGTGTGTATTCCATTGTAGATCATTATTTAAATTAGAGGATAACATATAAATTAATTGGAACAATTTCAAGTTGCTTAGTTGGGTGATACGAAGCGTCCAATTCATCTTGTGTGAAAATAATGTCATATCATTAACAAGAGAGTATGATCATTAAAGGCATCACAAAATACACAAGATATACATTATATTTTTAGTAGAACGCCCTTGGAAACACGTAAAAGGATTTCTTATATCTCTTTTGAGTAAAGTGCTCAATAAATCAAACTTCCAGTTGAGAAGTAGTTTTATTAAAGATCACATCTATTTGCTCACAACTTAAATCCAGACACCTGTACTCTAATGAAATCTGCAACCTTCACACAACAGTTATTCGTGCACATGCCTCCCTACTGAAGAGTTGAAGGAAAACATTGACACAGCACAAGGTAAAGATATAAGATTATATATCTAGAAAGTTTAATATTTACTTAGAGAATATGAGGTTAATGTAAAATATGGTAGCCCTGAACCTCTCTCAACATAATATCTTAATCATGTGAAGCAAAGGAAATCAAAACAAGTGATGAAAACAAATGTTAATGATTCATGTGATATTTGATAAGACAAGGAAAGGAAGTCAAAATAAAAAGCAAACAAACAGAACAGATGGGAAGGATCTTTGTCAAGTCATAACCTCTTTTCTAAAACCCCCAAAGGAAGAAGCTAATTAAAGAAAATATTGTTTCTTGCTTTTTTTATCATTTTATATTTAGAGTGAGAACATTCTGCTACTGCTAAAGCAAAGAAGCAGCGACACAAAGTCTACATTGCACATGAGAAATACTTTGAGAGACTGTTGTTCAGTGCAAACCCATTTATAAGAGGATACAGAGTAAACATCATTTCATGAGATGCAGATAATAACAGTTCAACTGATTCCCAGATGTTTGAATGCTAATATATTCAAGATTGTGTATGCATATAATTAAAAATGAAAGTAGAAAAAGTTGCAATATATCTTAATTATGTTGTTGTGTTTTAGGTTTTTGTTGTCTTGTTTGTTTTTCCTTTAGTGCTAGTACCAGGGCTTAAACTCATGGCCTTGTAGTCTCAATATACTTTCTTTCTTTAAGCTGACATTTTGCTAGTCAACTGGAGATAGAATCTTATGGACTTTTCTACCTAGGTAAGCTTGAAATTGTGGTTCTTTAGGTCTCAGATTTCTAGGTAGTTGAAGCCTTAGGTGTGAGCCAGCCGTATCTGACTTGATGACTACTTCTTTGTAAATTAAAGATTATAGCTGAGAAATCTGAGGCCATAGAGATAATTCATGTTTATGGAAGACTAGATCCCAGACCATTTTTGTATAGTTTCTGGCATAAGCCCCTAGTGCTGCTCTAGAGAATGATGTCATATAGAATAGCACTATAGCTAGGACATTATGTCTGTACAATTGAGATCTACTAGTATAAGTAATGGATTACCTAACAGACATAAATACACTACAACACATTTGAAATTAGAGTATAGACTATGCTTTATTACATGTTAGTATAAAGTACTTTTATTTATTTGTTAAACTAAAAGTCCCACACTATTTGTCTATTAGTTTTTATTGAATAAAGAATAGCAAATTCTATGCTTAAAGAAAGCTCTTCTAATATGATCTACCTCTGAGCTATACCTCCAGTCCTTAAAGTTCTGAATTATGGCTAATAATGAAGATTAACTAAAAGAAAGTACCACCAAGAACAGTTTTAGACATTTTTCCTTTTAGTTCTCTTGTAAGAAGAAACATGGGCTAGGTTAAATTATCTAAAGCAATAATCACAAGTTTATTTGAGACAAATACAGTGAATAAAAGCTCTCATTTGTATGAAAGAACTTTGTACCACGTACTAGACTCTAATAGTAAGCATAACGTTGCAAGGAGAAATTTGAACTTTAACAATGTGAGGCAGGCAGAACAAAATTGGAATTATGGACCTAGAAGGGATCCTTACAGAGCGAGCTGTTCTGTCACAAAATTCTTTCTAGATGGGAAACTGAACAGAGAGACAAGCCATGAAAGCTGAGAAGGCAATAGAAGATCTACAGATGGAGATGATGAATCTTCGCCAAGTTGGGTATATTTAGTCACTAAGTCTTAGGCAATATACATTACCTTGATGATTGTATTAACTTGTAATATTATAGTATATGTTATATAATGTATATTAAAACACTGACATTGTTGTCAGTGTCCTAAAGAAAAAGCCTTTTGCCTAATTTTCAGAATCAACAATGTTGAGGCCATTGATGTACAAAGAGAAGTTTACTTTCAAACAGAAGATGATCCTATTTCTCTGGGTATCAAAGATATTTCATGCAGAAGAATCTACCCCCAATTGAGTGAAGATCTAGACACTATGGGTCTACGTATTTATATCTGTTCAATAGCTGTGTGTTCTTTTTTTTTTTTTTTTGTCAGTCGTGGGGCCTGCACTGTAGGCTTGGGTGCTGTCCTTCAACTCCTCAGCTCAAGGCTAGCACTCTACCACCTGAGCCACAGTACCACTTCCAGCTTTT